ATCAATCTTTGCTAGACGCGATTTTATGTAAAATAACGGCGTTCTTCTGTCCCAAGCGTAAGTTGGTCATTTGCTGCATAATTCTTTACAAAAGATGAACAAGATACCAATTTTGTTTAGTAGCGGGTGGAAGTCACACATCAGCAAAAGATATGAGGCCATTACATAGCCATTGAAACCAAAAAAATCGGATGAGTGATACCTGTAGCCCATGGGGTTACACTGTTGCCATGAATCATTTGCAGGCAAATAGAAAATAATAAAAATAAAAGCATAAATTTCTAGCCTAATTCCTATTTCAGCACTGACTGAAAGAGAAAATAAGTGACTTACAGCAGGTGCGAACAAAGTGAGAATACGTGTTGGCACCAATTGCTCTGTATTATCTTCATAACGTACAAGCGCCTTAAAAAATGGAAGCTTTTAATGCCATTTCTTAACGCTCAACATTCTTTTTACCTCCCAATCATACATATGCACTTACAGCTAACCCTCATCTACACTTATATCATATATATATGCATAAATATACACATGTATATTTATATGTGTTGTGAAAGGGACAAGATATAAATGGCAACGAAGCGAAGCTGCTTGCTAAATCCCTTCGCCTTGCCCAGTTGCCCTTCGATTCCATGTAATATGCAACTGCCCCACCTCCTGACTCGAGTTCCCCCTCTGTGATACTTAATGTAATGATTAGAAATGAAATGTGGATTGTTTTTATGCGATAATTGTTGTGTGGTGGCAGCTTGGAGCTGCTGCCGAATTTTTTGCGGTTTGTTTTCTGATTTTCTTTAGGTCCGTGCTTCCGTACTAAAAAAGTATTGTTTATAAGAATGGGTATGTACCCCCCGCAGGTCGACACTTACGGCTGCGCAAGTCCTCCGCTCGTCAAAATATATATAAATATATATTTTATATTTTATATATATATATGTATAGGTTATATATATAAATATATCCATTGTTATCTCAAACGATTTATAATCCCTCACTTATCTTCCTGATAATAGTCTTTTATTTTGATGTCAACTTTATCTCTTGCTTGTATGATCATGCAAAGACATTGCAAGCATCGGATTCTATCGTTCTTTCCGTTACAAACAACATTTACCACACCTTTTTCTCGCATTTTACTGCTTTCGACATGGACAGCGAAGAAGACACAGTTCTTAAATCATATATTTCTATAATTTCTTTCAAATTATTAAAAATACTGCGTGCTAATACTCACTCTGAGTTCCGATGAGCCAATATCTGTTACATTATCCACTGCGATGACACGAACATTCTGACAGACTTTGTACTGACTGATGTCCATTTTATCCAACAGCTCCGTCGCACCGTTTTGCACTGAAACTTACACGGTCTTGAAAAATTGAGCCCCATAACTTCATTTTCCGGTATGCAAAGGGTTTGCCATTCAGGACTGTCGAAAAGACAACGCAAAGACAACATTAAAATTCACAATCAGTAGTTCTAGAACCCCAACAGGCCGCTGAGGGAGCTGCAACTATTTGCAAACTTCTTGAAAATTCCGGAAATGCACCCCCCGTTGCAAAGAGTCATCTGAATCCAGGAATATAAAATATTATTCAAAATGTGAAAATTTGCCTTGCTATTAAATTATGAAAATATGCGCGTCAAAGCCTCCTCGTTTTACTGATCGCAAGTGAAATTATACTTTAAAAACAAAATTTTGGTTTCCAAAATGCACGAAAATTGTCACAGGGATATTAATGGAGGTACTTTATATGCAAGAGGAAAATGGAGAAGTGGAAGGAGGGGGAGGGAAGACAGAAGGGGGGAAAAAGAGGGAGGTATGAAGGATCCACCCTTCTTCCCCCATAAATCCCCCTCCCTTCTGTTTCCAATTCCTACCTTCAATCAAGGTCTTTCCAGATAATAACCCGGCCTCCTTTCCCGAAATCCAAAATATCATTTCCGACCCTCACTCCTTCTTCCTCCTCCCTCACTTTCGTATTTTTACCGCCATCCCCCTCCCCGACCCTCCCCGCCTCCCGGCCCAGCCGAGTTTTAACAGTTGTTTAAGAAGACTCACTTTGGTCGACGACTTGTTCAAGTCCCGCATGTCTGAGTCCGATATACCCCTCTTTTGCTGGCACAGTCTCAGCACTTTCCTGCAATTTTACCATTAAAAAGGATACGAATAGGGCTAGCATTGATGCGCACCAAGGTACCGATGGTGAGCTTTGCACAGTTCTGCCCAGTAGATATTTGCTGTTAGGTTAATTTGAGTAGACGGTCAGTTTTTAATTACCCTGGAATCCTTCCTAACTTTACATATCTGAAACGTATTCACTGTACTGTCATTTCATACATAGCTACAACTCAAATTTTTACTATCGCTGTTTATAATTTACACGAAAATAAGAAAAAAGAGTGAGTAATGTGCTGTCAGAGAGTGTGTATTGTTCGTAATGTGTGAATAAAGGGTAAATAAAGCTAGAAGCGAACAAGGCGAAGCCGATGCTTAGACAAAGCTGAGAGCTTTCAGTTTTACTGAAGCATAAGATTCAT